CTCAAGGAAACGATGGAGCTTCAACAAAAGATATAGGAGCTAACGAAGAGACTAAAGATGAGAAATCGGTAGAGACTATGACAAATGAAGGAGCTTCTACAAAGGAACAGAAGGAAGAAACTCAAGGAAACAATGGGAAATCAGTGAATGACGAGAACTTAGAGAAGAAAGAAGAGAAAAATGAATCAAAGGAGGGATCAGTAGAGACCAACACAAATAATGAAGTTTCTATGGACGAAAAGCCGGAGGAGGTTGATCAAGGTAATAATGAAGTGTCTGCGAATGACAATTCTAATAAGGAGAAGGGCGTAGAGGTTCAAGGAGGACATATTGAAGACTCGACTAAAGATAAGAATTTGGAGAGTAAAGAAAATCATAAGTCAGAGGTAGAAGAGGCCAAGGAAATTGACGGAAATTCCACTAAGGAGAAAAGCGAAGAGGTTCAAGGGGAGACTGGAAATTCAATGGAAGATAAGAACTTGGAAAATGGAGGAGGTGAAAAAGAGTTGAAGGATGATAAGTTGGCAGAGGCCAATACAGGTAAAGAAATGTCTATGGAAGGTAAGCGAGAGGAGACTCAAGGAAATTCCACTGAAGTAGAAACCAAAGGAGGAAACAAAGAGTCTAAAGATGATGCATTAGTAGAGGATAACGAAAATGTGAGAAGTTCTGAGAACGAAAAGCAAGAAGAGACTCAAGGAAATAGTGGAAATTCCACTGAAGTAGAAACCAAAGAAGGAAAGAAAGAGTCTAAAGATGATACGTCAGCAGAGGTGAAGGAAAATGTGAGAAGTTCCATGAACGAAAAGCAAGAAGTTGCTCAAGGAAATGGTGGAGGTCAGAAAGAGACTAAAGACGTTAAGTCGACAGAGGCTAAGGAAAACAATAAAGAGTCAAAGGACAATAAGAGGTCAGAAGCTAATGAAAATCAAGGAAGTTTCATGGAGGAAAACCAAAAAGAGGTTCATGGAAACAGTGACAAATCAAAGAAGGTAGAAAACAAAGGAGAAAATAAAGAGTTTATGGACGGTAAATTAGTGGAAGATAAGGAAAATAAAGAAAGTTCTATGAAGGAAAACCAAGAAGAGACTCAAGGAAACAGTAGTGGAGACCTTGGTAAAGTAAATAACAAAGAAGGCGAGAAAGAGTCTAAGGACTATAAATCAGTAGGTGCTAAGGAAGATAAAGAGAGTTCCACGAAAGAAAATCAAAAAGATGGTCAAGGAAGTGGGATAGTATACACAAAGGTAGAGAATGAAGTTGGTAAAAAGGATTCTAAGGCTGAGGCTAAGGCAAATAACAAAAGTTCAACAAAGAAAAAGCGAGAAGAAGCAAAAGGAAGCGGTAGTGATACAACGAAAGTAGAGAGAAACGATTCCAAAGACACAAAGTTTGTAGAGACTACGGAAAACGATAAAGGCACTACAGAGAACATGGCCACAGAGGTTAAGAAAGGGAGCGGAGAGTCAATCCAAAACAAGAAAGAAGAGAAGAAAGATTCAGTTGATGCTAACTCTAAGAAAGTAGAAAAAGAGAAGGAAAAGTCTGAAGACGGTGATTCGAAGAAAAACATAGAAGACAAAAACGAGAAGAGAGTGTCTAAAAACAGTAAATCGGAGAAAAAAGAAAAAGACAGTGAATCAAAGAAAAATGATGAAGAGAAGAAAAGATCTGAAGACCATAAATCTAAGAAAAAAGAAGACAAGAAAGAAGAAAAGAAACAATCCGGAGACCACAAATCTAAGAAAAAGAACGAAGAGAAAAAAGAGAAGAAAGAAGAAAAGAAGCAAAAGAAAAAAGAGAAGAAACAATCCGAAGATAGTAACTCAAAGAAAAATGGAGAAGATATAAAAAAGAATAAAGAGTCTGAAGATCATAAAGAAGAAGAGAAAAAGGAGAAGAAAAAGTCTCAGAATCATGAATCCGGGAAGAACAACATATCAGAGAAAACAAAAGAAGCAACAAAAGAGAAGGAGGACAAAAAATCAATTAAAAAGGAAGAAGAAAAAAGAGAGAAGAAAGAACACAAAAACAACAAATCAAAGATGAACGAAGAAGATAAAGAAGGGATAAAAAATTCTGATGACAATAATTTGAAGAAAAAAGAAGAAGAAAAAAAGCAAAAGAAAAAAGCTGAAGATACTAAATCAAAAGAAAAGGAAGATGATAGAAAAAAGAAAAAAGAACATGAAGAGCGTAAATGGAAGAAAAAAAATGAAGAAGATAAGAAGAAGATAGATGATGAGAACAAGAAATCAAAGAAGAAAGAACATGAAGAGCGTAAATC